AGCCTCTCACGTTCTAATCTTGATTGCAGATCATGGGAACCGAAGGCGGTTGCTCGGCGTTCATGCCGCGAACCAATCACGAAGGCAGTTGCCGACGTGCTGATGCATACAGAGAAGAAGCGACAAGCATCGATGGGTTGTACTCCATCGGCATCGGGCGCCTGGTGCTGTACCACATGCGGTCGCGAGTACCTGAGTCAGGCAGGCCTAGTGTACTATGACCAAGGCCAGTCGGGTCCTGCAGAGAAGGTAGACTGAGCTGGCGCAGCGTGTGTAGGTACCCTGCATTTGGTTTGCTAGCTGTCTGCTTGCATGCTAGGTCTCTATTTCAGGTGGTGGATTTTAAATTTTGTCCTAATGCTTTTCTTTCTCATATTATCCTCTAACTGTACTATCCGATAAGCTTGCACACGTCGCTGAAGCTGATTGTAATTAATTTCGATAACATTTTCGCGTTTGTTGCATTTCCTTAAAATATTTTATCTGACCTCTTGGACTTATGGCGGATTCTTTCGTAATCAATTTTTTATACGCCTGTGTAGTGAAGAGTTATGTCTCCGTATCTGTATGCCCTATCCGACTTATTTTATTTTATCTTGTCGTTTCAGGTGATTGGCTGTTGCTTGATATCCCCGGTGTGGCTGCGCCTGATGTGCATGTTGACAAGGTGCCTTGTGGCCGTGGTTCCATGCTGAGGCTGATGTTGCATTAATGATGCTTCTTCACCGCAGTTGGGCTAAGCCAACTTACATTTAAACTAAGTTTTTTTTATGTGAATAAAATTCATTTCACTTTGGTTTGTTCTGCGTACCTGATAATCTCCTAAATTGCACACGTCGCTCATGCTAATTGTGGTAAACTTAGGTAACTTTATCACCCACTATTTTTAAAATAACTTTCGGACATTTTGTACTTACCGCGGATTCGCTTATAACCAATTTCTTCCATATGCTCACTTAGCGAGTATTTATGTCTTCATATACGTTTACTTTATTCGATATCTTTTACTTGATATCGGCATTTCGAATGATTGACTGTTGTTTGACATCCTAGGTGTGGCTGCGCTTGATGTGCATGTTGACAAGGTGTCTACCTGTCTATTACCCACTACCTTGTGCATACCGACTCCAAGAGACAGTTGGTCGTTTCTGGAAGGGACGGAGTCCACGGTTCTTGTGGTCGTGCTAGACTCGAAGAGTGGTTCCATACACTCTGTGTGAAGCGGATTACGGTCCAGCCACCGCCTTGTGTGCGCTTGATGCCCCAAATACAGCGTGCTTGTGTTTGTCTTTGAAGGAGTGTGGGCCGGCTCCGTTGATGAAACGTGGCTCCCATCCACATGCCTCCCGGTCTTATTCCTTCGGGTTTACACTGGATATGGGGTGCGTGGGTGGTGCAGCGCAAGTCATCCATGGTCCCTCTGTGGGCGCAGACGTCTTGTGGCTGACCACAGTGACAGGCAAATCCGAAACCGGATGCCGCCAACCATATATATATATATATATATATATATATATATATATATATATATATATATATATATAATGCTACTGTCTGCGAATAGCTGTAGAGTCATAGGAACCATAGGACCTAAAAGAAGGTACCGAAATCGTGAAAGAAAACGCAACACATCGAAGTCCATGTTTTTGTCTAAGGGCGAGATACTACTCGGTTGCCTACGTCGAAGTAGGGTGTTGACGTAGGGGACACTACCCCTAGCCTTTGGCCTAGTAGCATGCCCACAAAGCAGTGGAGCGAATTCAGGGAATCGCGCCCATTGGGAGCCGGCAACTGATTGCTCAGTTTATACACCTTTCATTTGTCAAACAAGGGCCTAATGCTCCACAGTGTTACAGTATTATGTGGCTGGAATACGATGCTTCTTTGGGATGAAGCAAGGGGCAGTGACTTTATTTAATGGCGAGTCACATCCGCCACGTCACAGTGTTGTTGAACAGACATACGTGGCTTTTTATAGGAAGGGTGCTTTCCAGGGGAAAACCCACCACTCCCTGAAACACTGTCGCCGTACCATTTGCTGGAATGAGAAAATCCCGAACCACCCAGCTGGCACCACGGGCAGGTTGTTCGGCAAGCCAGCCAGCCACGAAACTAAGCGGCCATGGCTCGTGTTGCATCACATGTGTAGGAAGAGGTCCTGGAGCAGGTGGCCAAGTGAACTGATCTTGAAAGTGTTCCGCCCAGCGAGCCATACGGTGCTCCTTATTGTGTATCAGTGCTCCTGGGCTGTCTGATTCACTGACGCAGGGGACCGATATTACGGATCAGCTGGAAGGGCTTGAGGTAATTGCCTACTGCTCGCTCCTCCTCCATTTCTTGAGCCTGACTGCTTCACCAGGCTTCCTTGTCACCACGCAGGCTCGGTTTCAGTTCGCGCCTAATAGTCCTCATAGTTACATTGTGCACAGAGCCAGCCGGGAGGTGCCCTCTAGATTCCAACAGGTTCACCGACCTCTCGGATATCCAGTGACTGGTGCAGTGACGATTGATAGTGACGCAAGCAGACGCTCCTGTGTCGTGCATGGCAGCCGTGATTCTATTCCTATGAAGCTCATTGTCATTAGGACAAGACAGCAACTGTTTGATACTCCGTGCGCCTTGACAGGCTTGCATAACCGAGGATTGAGACAATTTCTCAGTTGCCAATCGAGGGTGACGCTTGTGCAACTCCCGATAAAGTTCATGGTGAAACGACAGCGTACCAAGGCATGATCAGAGTCGACGCAAGTACTCCAGATAGTGTGACACTCCGGGATGGAACGACGCCACCTGTAATTTATGGCAATGTGATGTATTTCGGTCCATCGCTGGCCAGTTACAGGATGACGTCAATTGATACTTCGGCGCCCACTGTGTCTAAAAGCAGCGCTGCTGAGACACAACTGGTGCTCTGCACACAGTTGCAAGAGACGCTTTCCGTTGTCAGTCCGTTCGGAGTTAAGCCCATAATTACCACCCAGGTGAGCTTCTGGAAAGCTCAGACGCTCTACTTGTGCGTTCATATCCCCTGTAAGTACTATAATATCTGAACTAGTAGCACTGCGTAGTAGCATGTTCGGTTCGTGCCGGCAGGCGTACCTGGCAGTATCAGAACTGCAGTTCATGAGGCATAATTGGAAATCACAAACATACTTCGTGAGTCAACCTTAGCTGATGTCGTCGCACTGAGTGCACACAAACGGCTGCTCACGGTAATCCAACCAATCAACGATGACACAGCTTTGGAGCTCAGAATCATACCTACCCCACCTTAACCCGTGAGTACTGCATCAGTGCGTGCAACCGATAGTGACAGGACAAACCGAGCGCAGTTAATTCAACAACCCCATGAGGGTCACTGATCTTAGTTTCGGACACAACATACGTCGATACCCAGTGTGCCCACCCTGCGTGCGAGTGCAGCCTGTTGACCTAATTGTCTTAGATGGCGAACGTTGTACGCCGCCAAGGAAGCGGGACGGCGTAGCCTTTTAAAGGATGGTTGCCGATAGGCTTCCGGTGTGTGTTGTGTGAAGGTGGCTGTAGATGCTGTGACTCCAGTGGCACTTCGGTTGCTGTCATTTAAACTGGGAATTCTAGAACTTAGGTTGGTGATGGGGATCGGGATGGGAACAAGAGAAACAGATGGAAAGGCAAGAAGGGATGCACCAGCAGAAACATGTTTTCGCTTATCCACCCTGCTGTGTGTAGCAGATTAAGCGGCCCTTGATAATCTGCACGACGGCCGATGCGGGATGAAGTTTATGTTTGAAGAAAACTCATGGTTATATGTGGACTGAGATACTGCCAGGACGCCCATACCTAGACAGTAGGACGATTAAGGTCTTCAGCCAAAGCCTTTGGCTCAAAAGCCTGTTTGCAAGGCAGCGGGGAGATGGCAATGCTTTAGTTTTACAGAAATGGACTCCATCCCATTTCAACCCCCAACATGGAGGACCAGGAGACTGAGTTTGTCTGACTAACCATTGGCCAACCTGGTAGGAGTGACTCTCAAGGAGCCCGGAGGCACCACCCAGTATAGCTTACTTGGTCAAGGAGGTAGGCACACCGTCGCAGCAAGTTAAAGTCCGGTTTCGAAGCCGCTTACTAGGCTCTGTGAAACTGGACGTTGGAGCCGCACTGATGATGTTGCCTAGTCTGGCAGCGAAACGTCGGCAACATAATCATTCTGCTCCGAGAGCAGTGCAGAACCCACATTCACATCACTTGAACTACGGATATTCTAAAACGTTTCAGATTATTGATTTTCTGCTAATTTAATCAACGCGTATTGGCATGAACACAACGTAGCGACAACTCTGAAAGAAAGATCTGCGGCGAATGAATAATAAATAATGTGTCACTTGTACGCCATAACGGCGCTTTGCTGCCGTGCGACCACCACCAGTCGCACGCGGGCTGAGTAAACCCCGAGGACCCCCACCTCTATGCGGATTCGAACACGCGCCGCAAGCTCGTTACTTCTAGGCTACGACGGCGAATGAATTGCGAAGTTCGAGACGAGGTATGCAACGAACATCTCGGACGACCGCTTCAGCCACGGAGGGGAATTCGCAAAGGTGACGGGGTGCAAATCGAAGATGTCACTTTCAATACTCACCTGATCGTCCATCAGGGACAGAACCCAAGCAGCAAGACTTCCCATTGCACTTCACCAACACGGCCTACTAGTATACAAAACTATTTTGAGCTAGTCGCCAGTTTAAATTACTGTTAAACTGCTGTTGCTGATGGTTGCGCAACGGCATAGTATCATTATGAACTGCTAAAGTACTACTTACCGTTTTGCGTAGTGATAATCAATCACAACTCTTTCAGGAGCATTGGTTAGTGTTTTGCATGTCGATTTCCGTGATTATTCTTACCCCGTCGGAGTTAATCATCATTTATCGTTTGTATCATTCTCCCTTGATTAGATCGTAGTATGCGAAGATCGGTATTTTTGAAATACTTCATAGTTGCCTATTTTCTTCATTTCAGCCCCTTGTATTTTCTGTCCGTTTGTTTTGGAATTAATAGAAATGGACAGGATATCTGCTTTCACTGACCCACTGGTAAGATTTTCCAAGGACTCAGTTCACTTCATCAATCGCTGCACGAAGCCTGATCGGAAAGGTTTGCTCATCTTCTACTGACGTTCCCTTGTTATTTGTAGAATTTAAAAAAAACGCGATCGCAACCGCTATTGGTTTCTTTGCTATGGGGGTGTTGGGATTCATTATAAAACTAATTTTTGTTCCCATCAACAGCATTATTGTTGGGAATTAACCATAATACGCAGGACTGAAAAATATATAAGCTATTCCTAATTTCCTGACTTCATGTTTTCGATTTACCGCTCACTCAGTTAAGTACGATCGATCACGGTCTTATTGACTTGAATTGCCATGATAGTAACATTTGGAAATGATGTGGCTGAATACCAAATCGTCAGGACGATTATCTTCCAGTATGTTCGGTGGGGAAGTAATTAGCTAAACTCACAGTAGTGAACTCGCAATTCCCACCAGCCGTCAGTCGCTGTTCACAGGTTCGCTGAATTCAAAGGTCTTCGCCTGAGGACATGAAACGTACCAAATCGCCTGAATCTTTCTGTCAATTATCTGACCCCCCCCCTCTGTGGTGGTCTGGTAACTCTAGGCCTCATGTAAAATGGTACCATGTCGGTGAGCAAAACTCACCGGAACTACTAAGTAACGGGTATGCGGATCTGATGACCTGGTCCAGGGGTCACCAGACATTTTTGTTGGCGAGCTGGATTACCAGCAAACTGACGACCGTGAGCCGGGTTCTATTTTTGCACAATACTCGCAGGCCAAAACGCGAGCACTGAACAAAAAATTAAATTTCATGTAGCCAGTTCTCTTGAGAAATTTCAACCAGCATTTCGCGAGATAGACTGAATACAGTTTATTTCGTGTATTCTCAATCAGTCGCTTACAAAAGTACAGTTGGAGGATTTTGTGAGTAAATGTGACCTGGAATCAATAAGACAACCAATTTGAACCTGGGGTGATCGGGGTCATCACCTCCATTAGCCGATCATATGCCTTACCATGGCAAGGTTAAGCTGGATACGAGGTCAACTTGCTTGCACAAGTTGGACTTCAGCCGCCGGATTACAGAAGCCTCGTCAAACCGGAGCAGTGTTATCCTGTTCTACCTCCAGACGACCTTGAACGAGTCTTGACACACATTGCAATGGTGTAGGTGTCGAGCAATCGAACTGGAAGGTAGCTTAGGACAGCTCATCGCTAGGGCTCGCGGAACATGCTTCATGATCCTTGTGGATAATCTTTCAGTCCAACCAATGTGCATGCTGCCGCACGTACAATTAATTTGGTAAGCGCAGGTGGTGACTTGAGGGTGAGGTTTATGTAGATTGGATTGGTGCAGTAAAACTAGCCCAGCTGCGTAATAACACTTCTTTATTGCCGTAACCGGTGACAGAACCTCTTAGCAGTTTGTTCCCCTTTGAAATGTAGGGTGATGGACATCTTTGGAACCTCAGGTTGTTTTATATTTCGGAGATTTTCTTCGCCATATCAACGCCCTTGGATCGAAGACGAGATCACGGAGCGTATAGCAAAGCTGGAAGTGCTTTTGCTAACCTTCGCCACCTATGGCGGCCACGCGACATTACTCTCGCCCTGAAGGGTGGAGTGTACAATGCAGCGGTACGTTCGACCTTACTGTACGGTTGCGAAACCTGGCCCCTAAGATCGGCGGACATGTAGAGGCTAGTTACGTTCGACCATCGGTGCCTTCGCAGTTTGGCTCACGTCTGGTGCGAACACCGCGTGAGTAACGGGCGTGTTCGACGCCTTGTTTACGGCCCAGGAAAAGGGAATGAACCGCTCAGCACTGTCATTTCACGCACCAGGCTCCGATGGCTGGGCCACGTGTTGCGCATGCCAGCCCACCGACTTCCACGACGTGCGTTGTTTGCTCACCGGAGAGGTGGATGGAAGAAGAGGAGGAGTGGCCAAGCGATGACTTGGTCCAGAGGAATGAAGGCCCTCACTTAGGAGCTGGCCTCGGTTGGAGCGTCACGGCTCCCTGGTTGGGGTCCAAAAGACGGTGAACACGTTTGGCTGGATACACTTGCTGACATGGCAAGGATCAGACCTCAATGGCGTTCCTGCTGTGAGTCTCTTTGTCCCTCCCCCTCCACCTACGATCTCATTTCGTAGCCTAAAGCATAATAATTTTTCTTTTTTCCTAGTAGCTTGCTGGTAGCTTACCGGAACGATGCCCATTCGTTGCTGGTAGCTCAGCTGGCATGCAACTGTTGTATTTATTTTCCTTTATGTATTGCGGCACAGTAGCTTAAGTGCTTTCCACCTCTAGCTGACGTGTATAATGATAATGATGACTAGCTTACCTATTATCTTGTAGTGTTGATACGATGAGCTGCAGTCCACTCCTGATTGACTCTTCGGAACAGATTCGGCGTGCTCTCGTGAGGCATTCATGCTAAACATGGGTGAGCGACTTGCTATGTACAAATAAGAAATATAGACATATTTACTAACTTAAACATTATCGACGGCATACGTAGAAAGACAGTTAACTTAGACGTTTAGTTGCTACATCTGGAAGGCACAACATAAACGGCAAAATTATTTATGAGATTTGGGAAACTGCAGTTTGACTTTCAAGATATCATCAATATTTGGTTTGAGATGGCTGTATCCAATCAAGAGAATAGCTCTCAAATGTACCTAATTTAGTCTCGTTGAGGAGTTGACTTCACATACTTCATTTCGAGATTGTTTGCTCACAGATATAAGTTGTTCCAAACACTGATGTCATACTAGTGACAAACTACTTCAGTCCCGGGCTAGTCCTTAGCCTAAAGGTAACAAGCTCGCTTTGTAATCTGACAGCGCAAGTTCGAGCCTGCATAGGGACAGGGTGATCCTCGCATTCTCCTTAGCCCACGTGTGACTGGTGGTGGTTGCGCGGCAGCGAAGCGTCGGTACTTCGTACCGGCGTATTACAGATGCCTTTCTTTCTTTCTACTTCAGTCCCGGAAATTCAGCCCCAGGTATGCAGCAGTATAATCCAACAAGTTTTTCTTCCCTGTGCTTCTGATTCAACGAGCCAATTGCCCGCAATTCACTTGGCTCCAACTGTAGCTTAACTGGAACGTCATGAAAGTTACAATCAAACGTGTTCTGGAACAGCAGAATTCTGCTCTCAGTTCTGTCAAGATCTGAAAATCTCTGCAGAATGCCACTTCGGGTCACGAATAATTTTCCTCGGGAAACCCAGGAGAGCTTCAGGGGTCCTAACGCTAAATTCTTTTAAATCGTGAAACTGAGCAAACTTTTCTCCTTTTAGTTGTTATTCAAACAGTGATGGCTTTCTCCGCAATCCATTATGTTTTTGTAGGAATCACTAATGAGGTCCTCCTTGTAGTTTCAAGCTCAGTTCACACATGTGGGATGTGACGTCAATCATAGATGCTAACTTTGATAGCCAGGTAGGGTCTGACGGCTATGAGTAAGCTCCATCAGTCACAGTGAGGAAGGCAGCCATTTCGTTTCGGAGCTTGTGAAAACAAAACAGTACTTAACCCTAACTGATCCACCTCACCGTTGTGATAAGGTAAATCACATAATTCAGAATCAATATCTTCCAGACAAGACCAAAACTGACGATGATTAAGAGGGTGCCCACGAATGGAGTTGCTAACTGAAACCACCGGTTTCAGTGTGCGTTGATGTAATATTCGCTATATGAACAGAGTTACCCGGATGTGCAAATCTTCTAACCGAGTCCTATTTGCCCTTCCTTACTTCAACCACGTTTATCCCTCCATCATTAATGATACGTCAATGCCGATTTCACTGCAGGTTATGGTCTCGGGAAATTTCGTGCAGTTCCACGAGTGTGCCTTCCACCTGTTGCACCATGCGTGGTGCCGACCGATTCCAACTCTTCCGTTACCTTAAACTTCGAATTGACATCGGGAATGCACACGAGAAGTTGTGACTTACTCGAAGGATCCGTAGACTCACCCATCCCCAGAGAGAATATCGCCAAAAGCCTTTAGGTTTATCGTATATCTGCTGCACTATGTCTCTACAAATTCCTTTGTCATCCGTACAACTACACTTTCCGAAAGGCTCACAGTTTCATAAAAATCGGCTTTCTCAGGACAAATCATTCACTGCTACCATTATACAGTCTGATTGAATTGCTGTTAGTGAACTCAAGGACATAATTTCGCGAAGAGTACTCTTTTCGACAAATCTCTTCAGGCAATTACCATTATAAAATGTAAGGGCAGAGCACAAAGAGCTGATGAAGCCAAAGAGGTACGAATAGTGAAATAGCGATAAACAGTAACTCAAAATTCTTTATCGATAAAGTCAACTGACAACATATGCGACAGAGCACGTGTTGGGTGATCGGTGGTATGCTAGGCACATCATCCGATCGCTGTCAGCGCATTAAGAGATAAATGTTTGTGAAGTAATTAGGGCCAAGGTAGAAGGAGCCCTTGCAGCAAAGCGTTCTGTTTGCATAATTCCGTTTGAGTTATCCTAATTGCTTCGGCCATCCGTAGCATTTGTTTCCTAAGACGCTTCTGTACCACATAAAGTACTTTGAAAACATTTGGTCCTAATTTGGTGTCCACTTTTCACCATATGTTCCAGGATGGAACTGTTGGGCCGACTGACGATGTCTTTCCGCGAAACCGCTGGGCAGTGCTCCGCTATGCGTTTATTCAGACGCCTGGTTGTGTGTCCCACGTACCTCGCACCACAGGTGCAGGTAAACTGATATAAGATGTAGGATTGGGACTGAACCGGAAGTCTCTCCTTGACGCGGTGAGCTATAAAGGGAGCGGTTTCCGCAAGTACGCGTGGACAGGCGGCCGGGAAGGTTCGAGCCACTGCATTGGAAATTTTTATGATCAGCAGATCAAAAGCAACCTCGTCTTTAAAGGTGATTGATGGGAGCACATCCTTCTTAGGGCCAGTTGTAACCACTTCACGGCTATCGCGGATAACTGCATACTTTTTAATGAATGGTGTCGGGTAACCGTTGTCTTGCAGCATTTTAAGAATACGAATCTTTTCGATCTGTAGCGTCTCTTGGCTGCAAATTTTCGTAGCGCGGAAAAACAAGCAGCGAACAAGATTACGTTTGTACCTCAAGCGTACAAAGTTTAGAAAATGTGTATATTGGCCTAGCCATGTGGCGTTCCGGAATACACTACTTTCTAATGAACCGTCGTTTCTTCGGCTTAGCCGCACGTCCAAGAAGGCTAGCTTACCATCTTTTTCGGTTTCGATAGTGAACTTCAACCATGGATGAACACTATTTGACTGGTTTAACTGGTTGGAAGCATC